GATAGATAGATAGATAGATAGATAGATAGATAGATAGATAGATAGATGGATGGATGGATGTGTGGTTTTCTGCTTGTTACATCATATCTGATGCAAAATGTACCAATAACATGTAACATGGTGGTCATCACTTGTGTTTCTATAATAAGTATAATCTAAGAGGAAAATTCAATTTCAAAACTAAGTGTGTTCGAACAACAAAAAGAACCTTCAGTTTATCCGTTTTTAGCGTTAGAGTGAAGCTCTGGAACAACTTGCCTGAAAATATTAAACAATGTAATAGCATCCAGCAATTCAAAAAACAATATAAGAAAAGTATTTTTGATGAATACAAAAAAGAATAATACGTAAAAAGTTATACCGTTTGTCTTACTGTAATCTTCCTTTACCACCACGACTCATGTAACTGAGGGGTAGGGCTTAATAAGCTTATGCTTCATCCTGCTCCTTTTTGAAACATGATGCATGTTTAGGAAGCATTCTATGTAAACATTGTAAGATCATATCATGTTTCAAAATAAACGAAATGAAATTAAATTAAATGAAATAAGCCTGGTCTCGTAGTAATGTGCCAAAACTAATGAAGTAAAAGCTCTCCTACAAATAAGAAAAGTAGTTGGGGAAACGGGCAGATTGACACGGATGGATGTTGGGTTAAACAACAGCTCTGATTCTTCTTTTTCACAGTGGGAATTCTACTCGTTCTCCAAAGGGTTCTGAACTAACTCAGGCTACTTGAAGAAGAATGACCAACAGACGGAAGAGGATGCTTCTTTAGCTTCCATATTTGTTTAATCTTTTTTATCTTCTCACTTCTTCTCTTTGTGCTCTCTATCCATTCTCTATCTTCATCCTTATGTCTTTATGTTCCACTCAAATATATCCCATAACACTGATATACATAGTAGTTTCAACAGTGTATCAGCTAGCATGTCCAAAGGAACAGTAATTGAAACAACACATGATGGGAGTGGAGTTTTTGTAGAATGTGACTGTCAGCTCTTTAGTCACAACCATGGTTGCATGGATTTAAATTCTACAAACACCTACAGATTCAGACCTGGAAAGACGGATTTAGTATTTAATTTACTGCTACAGCTGTTTCGCTCAATTGCTCGGAGCCAAACATTGCTCGAAACACCTCGATTATGTTATTTAACATATAAACTGTAACATGACGTGTAGATAACAATAAAACTTAATTGTAGAAATGTGCAACCTCTAAGCACTGAAAGTACAGAATTGCATATTTGTCAGAATGAAGATATTTAGACTTGCTTAACTTACGGCTGTTTAAGCAACAATCTTTCATCTTTATGAACAAAAAAGGAACACTGAATCATTGTTGTTACACGAGACGACGACAGGCTTTAATGTTCGAAAGGTTCGAAATAAATTTCGGAAGCAATCGCGACTGAAAGCCACGGAGCTCAGCAGAAAAAACTAAATCAATATCCGCATCGATCGTTGTGCTTAACACACACGGTCATGTGTTCACTGGTGTGCGATCCGTGAGCAACAAATAAGCTTCTGGGATTTATGCTGCGAATCGTCCAGCTGGTTTTGAAACCACACGATGGAACCAGGAAGTGAATTTGATGATTATGTAACCAGTTTCGTGCAGGGTTTAAGTTACACAGTATAGTGTCCACTTGACTAGCTTGGAACTTCTGGTACTACTCAAAAGAGGTCCTTTCTATGGTTGTATTACAATAAGAGTAAGCCATACTTAACTGTACTGCACCGCCTAATGGAAAAGCACCGTGGAAAATCAATGGACCAAATCAATCCAAATAACAACCCAAACATCATAACCTAGTCACTAGATCTCCACCCCGTCTTTTCATACCTTTCCAGACAGCCAAGAGGGATGAGTTTGACCTTTTTTTGGTACATCTCCATAGGCAACTGTGTACAGTTTTCGCATCGCTGAACTCTCAAATATACATTCGTCTTTGAAATGATGGGTTTATGCTCCGCTGTCCAATTTTAATATCAGTCTCCGGTGTTACCACAGTGTTCGTGCAGACACGGTCTGATTATCTTGCATCGGAGTACTCAGTCATCTCTGGCGGGGATGCTTTTTCTGTTTTCCCGGAGGCCAGATTTTTTTTTTTAATGGCTGCATTTCTGGCATTTTTGTATGTCACGTCCATGCACAAACGACATGGTTATCGAATTTGTACGATCAGTCAGAATTTTCACTTCACTAACTCCTTTCATCAACACTTTTCAAGTCGTGGAACTAAAATACTTCATCAGCATTCGAATACCTTAATATGATCTGATGGCGATTCTTGCCTGGTAGATACAGTTTTTGTCTTTTTCCATTGCTTTATTCTAATTTTCCCATTGAGTTAACATTTAAACTTGGGAAGCCTGACATACAAACAGAGCTACTGTACAAAAGGAACCATATTGATATTACTTGTGTACATTTTGAAAGGTGTTCAATGAATAGTGCCCAGTTGTAAAAAATAAAAAATAAAAAATCATTACATTCAATGACAATTGGAGAAGGAAGGAGGAAGGGTGTGGGATTGTTGATAATGGCTTGCATTCTTAGCTATTTGTACATTTATTACTCAAATGTTCTTAATGCATAAACCAATCCATCCATTGTCTATACTTGTTATTCTTATTATACATGTTATTATGCTGGATATGGTCATGATTTGGAGCCAAACCCAGCTGATCTTGGCCGATAGGCCGGATACATCCTGAGCAGACGTCCTGTCCATTACAGGCCCACAAAAAAATGGACGAGACACATAACCATACAGGTACAAAGTCACTCTAAGGGGCAGTTTAGAGTCTTAAATTAATCTAAAATGCATGTTTTTTGACAGTTTTAGGTATCCGGAGCACGAAAAAAAACAAAAAAACATCCAACCCCAGAGAATTAAATGCTTAAATATAATGTTAATTGAGAAAAAACATAATATTATGTTTCGTGAAGAACTTTTTTACTTTCACATTTACAGTATTTTCCGCACTATAAGACGCGCACCTTCAATGAACGACCTATTTTAAAACTTTGTCCATAAATAAGGTGCACCGCATTATAAGGCGCATACAATAGACGCTACAACAGAGGCGCACTGGAATATAAGGCGCACTGTCGGCTTTTGAGATAATTTGAGTTTTTTAGGTGCGCCTTATAGTGCGGAAAATACTGTAGTTAGTAACACAATAACACTTGACTAAGTCCTTTTTTTATAACTAACTGGTTAATTATAAAAACCGCCACAACCCTCGTGCGTAATAATTTTATGTTTTCGCTGTTACATCGTTACACATTTTTATCATTTTAATACCCAGTTTGCTCGGGTTTGACCAAAATGTTCCTACATTAATGTTAAGGCAATATTCATGGTTAGGATTGAAAGTTGGTTATAGGGCTGTGTCGGTCTCATCACAGTTTTTGTGATCTAACGTTTATGTAGAGAGCCACTGGAATAATAATGGCTGATACTTAAGTATTGGCATGTTAGTGCCTTATTGCAGGTTACTTTTACTTCTGATATTTACACGCTGGACCAAAGAACGCTTTGGAATGGGGCTAGCAATGCTGACCGTCTACATTTGTTTTTCATCCAAAGCAAATGCCACATTCTTTTTAGATTTCTGATTTTAAAAAAGAAAGAAAAAGAAAATCTGTAACTGCTACTCTATGCTAAATTAAAAGCAATTGCCAAATAACTCAATGCTTGTTGAGTACAAATTAAAAAAGGTTTTAAGTAGGAGCAGTTTGGTGGCGATAAAGACTGGAATAAGTATAATGCTACTGGCATAGCTAAGTAGAGTGATTATGTGTACCCTAACTTTGCAGGTAATGAGTCGAAACACATATTTCAGCTAATCTTTTCTTTAATTTTTTTCTGTCTTTCTCGTGAACTCTCGATCTATCTAGATGTCTCTCTCTTATTTTCTGTCAATACATGTTCTGGAAGTCATTACGGCTGAGAGAAATTGCCATCCTCCCCCACGCTTTGAATCATCTGCCTTTGTCCCTCTTCCATTGTTTTCTCTCGGTCTACCCTCCTCTCTCATTTTCTGCAAGTTATTAGTGCTGACAAAACCCATTTCGGTGTGTTTCTCTAAATCACTGGAAGTGGCAAAACCTCTGCCTCTGTTTCTCCTGTAAGTCATTAAAACTGACAGAGAGCCTTTATTGTGCCGTTTCGAGCCAAAACTTGAGTTGCTCGTTTTTTTTTTTTTTTCTTTCCCCCGGAGTAGTTTTCGGAGGCTTAAATCTCTGCGGGGCGTATTGTCTCTGAGGTGGCAAAGCTTTAAAGCCGGGATGTAAAAATCCCCTTCATCTGGAGCCTCGACTGTTAGCGGTTGCCATTTACGATCAACAGCAGACTCAGTCGGCAGTTGTGTTCAGAACTACTGTACGCAACCGAGTTTTGATCTGAGAAAAAGAAGTGTAGTCTTTGATGTACGGGTCGTACACAACTCCATCAGCCGCCTTTTGTTCCAAAATGAATGAACCACTCAAAAATGTCCTTTTAACTTTCTAGCTAACATGAGATCCTGGATCCACATGAATTTAAGTGAACTTAAATACAACCTTTTTTTTGTTTAAAGGCCGTCAATTTATCAATCAGTACCACCATTCAGAGTTGAATATCTAAACAGAAATCCATTACACTCATAACTTTTGCAAATAAAACATTTTTTTTCTATGTAATTAACAGCTATGGCCAGCCTTTGAACTCCCTTGTGTCAATTTTTAGAAGAATATAACAACCAACATTTGCCCCAATGTAATACTTTTTTTCTAAGAACAATTTTAGTAAGTTGTTCTTATTAATCAGTTAACCCTATAATGCAAAATGTATCATATTTGATACACACGGTTTCTGAAGTCTTTTGGATCTGATACTTTTTGCATCATTCAGTGGTAAAAGCTTTGCTCAAACCCCTGTTGTACACATTCAGATATACCTGATAACAGCCAGTAGAAGACTACACAAAAATATATTTTTGACTCATTGCACGCTATTTGATCAAAATAATTTCTGTTTTTATTTACTTCATATGTTGTTGAGGGGCCAAAGAAAGACTTCAGACTAAAAAAATCCAATATTCTTCCAATTTACCTACTTTTATGTGACTAAAATTGTAGTGAATTTAAGTTTTTCACTCGTGAACATGTGATAGAGTGGGAAACATGGACTGGATAAGTTGTAGCAGTAGATAGACTGACTTGTTTTATGAATATTTAGTCTTTAATTTTGGTTCCTTGGAAAGTTCCAGCCTTCAGTTGCAGGGTCAATCTACACGAAGAATGTTTACTCATGCTCTTTTAGTAATATTTCAGTAGTTTTTGCAGTTTTCAGGTCAACATCTTAGAGATGTGCAAGTTCTCTTAACCTTTAGGGTACGTACATTGTACTTACTGATAAAGTAGATAAGTAAGTTATGATATTTTTTTGCGTTTTTGTCTGTTTTGGGGGGTGTTTGAGGGTGTCTTTGCCAACTATTAATTAATTAATTAATTTATTTTATTTTCACAACAAAAACATAAAAACAGTATTATGTTTCTCTAAAAAAATGTGATGGCCAACTGCTGAAAAACTCTCAGGGGGCTTAATGAGTGGCAGTCTCCATAAAAAACAAATATATATTTTAAAATTTCAAAAAATAAAAGTAAAAAATTTTAATGAAAAAATTCAAAATAATTTTTTTTTTAAAAAACAACAACATTTCTTTGTATAAAACAATTAAAATATCATTTAGACCACAAATCCATATGGAAAATTCGGACAACTTAGTGGCAGCGATTTTACTCTCCGTTTAAATTGTTCTTTAGAAAGATCTGTCAGGGATGTAGGGAGACTGTTCCGTATCTTTGATCCTCTGTATAACACACTAAACTGTGTTTGAGTTGTACGAAAGTAAGGAGGTCTGATAAGATAACTACTACGAGTTGGATACTGGTGAAATTCATTATTAAAATAAAAAATATTACAAATGTGCTGGGGAAGTAACTTTGAAGTTGATTCAATACTTGCCTGAGCAAACAGTGGTTGGGAGGGGTGTCTACGATTTATACGAAATATTAATCTTAAAGCTTGCTTCTGAAGTAGAAAAAAAGGTTCCAGTTTAGTTGGGTGGGTGCTAGCCCAAGCTACATTACAATAATTAATATGCATCCAGGATGCTAATTGCTCCTCATGTTAGTCTCTAAAAACAAAGACATTTAAGTAGAAATCCAAAGCCTGACCTAAGAGTTTGGTTTGGAAACCGTGTCAATAGGAAGAAAAACGAATTTAAAAAAAATCACGTGACTCACCTGTCGACTCCGTCCTGGGAATAAAAAACGCCGTAGGTCTGCACGCCGCCTCCCGTCTCCTCCGGGGGGCGCCAGCTGAGACGGACAAATCGGCTGGACACTAGGACAGCGACCAAGTCGCGGGGGGCAGAGGGGAGGGCAACGCCTGGGCTGGGGGACACTGGTGGGGGATCAGAGGAGGAGGAGTAAGTCAAAGGGGTGCCAGAAGGAGGAGGAGGAGGAGGAGGAGGAGTTGGAGGAAGAGGGGGTGTGAGGGAAGGCCTATACTGAGTGGTTGTGGCCTCTGTTATAAGTTCATCCAGGGGAGAGGAAGGGATGCGGGGGGGGGGGGGGGGAAGAGGGGACAAAAAAGGAAAAGGGGGGGGGGGGGGGGGGGGAAGGAGGAAAGGGAAAATGAAAGAGCGAAAAAAAAAAAAAAATGAGCCAAGGACGGATGAGATAACGTAAAAATACGTGGAAGAGACAAGAAGGAAGAAAAGGAGGAAGAAGAGTGGTAAAGAAGATCACAGGCAAGAAAAAAAAGCAGCAAAAGCATCTGAAGAGCTCAT